TCTCCTCCTCTCCAGTATTTTGGGCACACATACACACGTGCCCAAGGTGAGTTTGAAGCCGCGGGGTCTAGGACAGAACTGCAGTCTACTGCCATCTACTAGTCCCAAGAAGCATTTTTCTTTAAAGTTTGTTTATTGGGAGAGAACCTCCCAATAGGGTCCTGACCACCTCTAGCATTAGCCAGCCTCAGGTCAAGGACATGGACATGCCTGGCACGCTCAGGGAGATCTCTGGACACGCACTTGGAAGCTTCCCACATGGGACGGCCTTGCAGAACATTACATTTAACTGCTGTGCTGTCTGGCCTCAAGAAGTGTTTTTATCCCCCCCTAGGGCATGTGCACTCACCAGAGAGAGAGAGAGACAATGAGAGGGAAAGTGAGAACTCACCCCCCAAAAGGATGGCCATACTACAAGTGCTTCTCTATTCTACTTTTAGGATTTTGGGGACACACACACACACACACACACACACACGCGCGTGCGCCTTGTGTGATTTTCAAGCCACCACATCCAAGACTCCAACTCAGTTATGCGGGAGTCCAGCGTCTTAATGCCCACACTACCTACTGGCCCCAAGAAATGCTTTGAAACTGACAGCGCAAGCTGTTAAGAGTATTTCCACTTCCCTCCTACACTTAAGAGTGCCAGACCTTATTTTCTGCAGCTCCTGGGCTTAACATAGCAGACAGGGCCATACCAACACAGACCGGGCCCCTGCCCTCTAGGAGCTTCCACTAAAGACATTTCAAATTAATGTGTACTTTTAAAAATCCTGGGCCAGGGGCTGACAGGTGGTGTGGTGATTAAGGGCACTGGACGTCCACATAGCTGACTGCAGTCTGAGTTCTGGACCTGGCAGCTTGCTTTCTCACTTTCTCTCTCTCTGGTCAAATTAAAATAAATACATAAAGCTAAATAAAATAATTCTTGGGGGAAAAAAAAACAAAAAAACTTGGGCCAGGCTCATGTCTGACTGAGTGACTGTGCGGTTCAAGTTCTGGACCTGGCAGCTTGAAAAGGATGCCAGGCATGTGTGCAAGCATGCCCCAAATCCCAACAGGATGGAGAAGGGATTATGATGTGACCATACTTCACTGGGGAGTGCTTTCTCTGGCACGCACACACATGCTCTGACAAAAAAAAAAAATCGAGTCCTGAGTTCCACTTACAGATTATTTCTAGAGCTGAGTTTGGGGGATGAAGGAAGTTTCCTGGTATTTTAGACTTGGGGGTGGGGGGTTTAGAGAAAATTCCACGCAAAAACAGAAAGAAGCTCCCCTATCACCTGTTTAAAAGGCAATCCTCCCATTCTATTACTCCTCCTGTCTTCCTGTCCTGACACTAATACCCAAGAACTTGAAGGATCCCCAGTCTCCTACTGAGACTAGAGGTGCAGCGGGACAGGGGTCTGGTCATAGCTAGCCAAGACAGCAGGTACAAAAGACTAGGAGTTGAGCCAACCACTAGCATGGTGGTTCAGGCGGCTGGATCTCACACGGCCCCGCCACATGGTTTGAGTCTCACACCTGACAGTATGAAAAGTACACTGAGCGCAGAACCAGCAGATGGTATAATGGTTACATCACTGGACTCCCACATAGTCAACTGTGGCTCAAGTTCTGGACCTGGCAGCTTAAAACTCACACTGGGCACGTGTGTGCGCATGCCCTCCCAAGATCCCAAGAGGGGAATACAGAATGGATCGCAGCATACCCATCCCCCATGAGGGGTGATTTCCCGGTTTCTGTCTCTGGAGAGCACACACGCCCTATAGAAAAAAATTAAAAACAAACAAACAAAAACCACTGAGCGTTTATACATGCTTATCCAAAATCCCAAGAGGAGAATGGAGAAGGGACTGCGGTGTGGCATCTCTGGCCATCCCGTACAGGTAGGGGTGCTTACTCACATTCCCTGTCTCTTTCTCTAGCAAAGTGCAGAAATTAAAACAAACAAATGGGACAGAAACGCATTCAGGTTGTCTCCCAAATGAGGCTGCCCAGGAAAGATGTATGTCCCCAGCTTCAGTGGAGGGACCCTAGCCACATTAGCCCTGTTAACTTTCCTCTAGAGCTTGCTCACTCCAGGGCTCATCAACTTGAAGCTTAAGGCAGAAGATACTTTTGGTTTCAGTTCTTTGAAAAGTAATTTTAAGAAGGCAGCTTTTCTTAGGCAGTTGAGCCATCTAAGTCACTTCTCCTTTTAGGGAAATGTTGTGTTTTTTTCAGATGCAAAATGAGTATTAACTTACAGCAGGGGCATCTGGAAGGTGGCAGAGCAGCAAATGTGATGCCGTGAGGCTGACTGAAGTGGCACCTGGAGACCTTGAGTGTGCCATTCAACGCACATGCCCAGATCGGTGCTGGCTGATGCTGGAGGTGGGCCATGGCATCAAGATCCTGTTAGAGGATCTCATGCTCTCTCGTTTGTGGAAGAAACAAACTTCAAACAAAAACCACTGCATAATTCTATCTTGCGAAGCCCTAGGCCAAAGTGTCATTTAGGGAATACTGATGGCAGGAAGTTGGGAAAATCAGGACCAAGAATGGATGGCTCAGGGGGCTGGGGTTCTGTCACCTGGGGAACTTCTGTGGAGAGGCTCCCTCTAAAGAGTCTTGAGAGCAACCTGTGGGAGAAATTAAACATCCTCCATCCAGGTGTATCAGGAAGACAGCAAGAAGCCCATTTGATTTGGTAGAAGAAACTTGTGATTGGCCCACCTCACAGATAGCCGGATCCCAGGAGGTGGTCAGCTGCCCATCATTAGTTCACACAGGTTTGGGGCAGATCTCAAAGCAACCTTGAAGCAAGCCAATCCTATTGCAGTCCAATACACTTAGAGAGCACCCTCACCAGACCCAGGCGCAGGGCCAAGTCGCAGATCTTGGTTTGGTAGTTTGAGTTGCAAATAGAGCATTGTCATTTCGATATGACATAAACGCATTCATAGCTAGCTTGAGCAAAATAGGGAATTCACTAGCTTACATAGGACAGGGAAGTCCAGAAGTGGTTCTGACTTCTGACATGACTGGAGCATCCCTCTCAGATCTGCTTCTCTCTGCGCTGGTGTCATGCTGCAGTCACAACCTTTCTCACTGACGGGGAGGACAAAGTTGCCAGTGCTGAGTTTACACTCCCACCACCGCAAGGCTTACGCCCCCTGTACACTGTGAGGGATGGACTATGAGACAGGGTCAGGGGAAGGAAACAGGATGCAGGGTGCACAAACTCACAGCTCGCTGCTAGGAGAAAGGTAAGGTTGAGGGAAGAACTCAATAAATGCTCTTTGTCTCCAGATCTGGGCCCAAGGCCAGAGTGGATCAATCAAGAATCATTTCTGCTTTAAAAACAAAACAGAACAAAACAAAACAAACAACTTTATTTGACAAAAGACAAAAACAAAAATTATTTACAGTAGTTTTTTGCTCAAATAATTCAGCGGAACTGTGCTTTCCCCGCCAGGTTTATCATATAACCAAACCCAAGCACAGGCCGCTCCACCCCCAGTCACCCCATTCTACACAAGGGGGGAATGCCAACCAGAATTCAGCAGCATGGCTCCCTCACCCCTCACCACCTCCATTGCTCAGTGCACTGTAGGGAGAGAAGGTCCCAACCTCAGCCAAGACATTTCTGGAGTCCCCCTCCTGACAGGCATCCTGCAACAGTCACACACCACACCTGGGCTCACAGACACGGCTAGGGTGCAAAAGGCTGGGCAAACATGTTCATTCTTCTCCAGCTGGGCCTCAGGAGGGTGAGGATCCCTGATCCCCCTGGGGCTCACAGGAGGGGTCACAGGAGGAAGAGGCCAGAGGGAGGCAAGAGAGAGCCTTTCTACCTACCCAGAAAGCAGCACTCCCTCTCCTTAAGGAACCTCTTCCTACCCCACAGCAATGGATGGGCCAAAGCCACTCAAGAGGTGGGGGATTCCCCCTGAGAGCTTCAGAGATCTTTTCAAAAAGGGTAAAATACGTGTCACTTTTCTCCTGACCAGGCCCACCCACGTCAGTCAATACCCAGGACCCTTTCTCTCTGCCTGGACTGGCAATTTCAGGAAACTAAAGGCCGAGGGTCCTGAGCTATATTTTGGCCCAGTAACAATATTATTCAGAACAAAAATATTTCGGCTAATAATAACCTAGGATTAGTGTTTCTTAGGATATATAAGGAGAGGGTATATTGCTGCTGAACACTCAGCAATAAAACAAAATAAAAAATAGGGGGGAGGGTAAGACCAACTGTGATCTGTTTCACTGGGAATTCAAGGCAGGAGCCCCTGCAGCTCCAAAGTAAAAAAAAAAGGTGAAACAAAGACCCTCACAGCTAATAGGCTTTTAACCCACATCTAGCCCGGCCTCCCCCTGAAGGCAGTTCCTCAGGCTGCTGCAGGCACTATTTCCTGATTCCTCCAGGAATCATTTCCTGCCACCAGGGTGGGAAAAGCTGCCTGCTCCAGTCAGCCTGAGGGCTTCGTAACCAGTAGGTGGCTCACTTTTCTCCAAGCAGGAGATGCTGGGAGCTTTTGACACTAATCCAAGTTCCTAGAAGAATGCAAAACTCAGACTGCAGGGCAAAGCATTGTTGGAGAACAAAGAAGGCGAAAATGTTAAAGAGAAAAAAACCCCACTGCTTCAATCTAGCTTACTTCTCCCACCCCTGCCCCCCAAAATATAGTAAAACAAAAACAAAAACCACCTCTCTGGTTTTACTCTGCTCGGCTCTGTGCCTAGATGGTTTAGTCACATTCTATTGGCCTCTCGGTTGAAGTTTTACCCCTTTCAGTGCTGGACGCAGAAGAGCCAACACAGTTTCTTTCTTTTTTGGTAAGCCAAACCCACGATAAAACAATCATTTGTAATGTCACACTATGCAGAGATTTAGCTGGTCCCCAAAATAAAAACACTCCTTCCTGGTAAAACAATCCCTAATTTGCAGTGGTGGATCATTCCCAGTTCATGAGACTCCATCACGTGACACTCTCGCATTTACTACTCCCAACCACAGCAAAAAGGGGAAAATAAACAGGTTAGCAAAAATCCAAACATTCAACTGGAGTCGGTTCGGTTGTGTCTGCTGGGTTTCGCTTTTCTCTTGTTCACACTTAAGAACTTGCAATGTCCCCACCTGGCTTGACAGAAAGAGGCTCAGCTCAGGGGCGGCTTGGACCCAGCAGAGGTCTGAACTTGGCAGGTTTCCTGAGCCCAGCCCAGGAGACTAGGCTGGCATGAAGGTGTCCCAGGAATTCTCTGGAGAAGCAGCAGCAGCAGCAGCAGCACCATGACTGTATCCCAGCTCTCGGTCTCATCACTGGGAGGAGGCCCAGAGAAAAGGCGGTCAGCAGGGGAGAGGTCCCCATCACAGTGCAGCGACACCAGCTGGTGTCTTCCTGCTTAAGACCTCTGGACAGAGGAACTGATCCGGATGGCTGGCAGTGATCCATAGAAAACCCTCTGTATGTATGGAAGGGAACCCAAAATGGAAACCCAGGGCAGCTGGCTTGAGCCTCATACACCCCTGCTGGTGGATGCCTACTTGGGGTTTTCAGAGACTAAAGGGATGGGAGTGTGCAGCAACGGGGGTGATGGGTCCTGCTGCTTCTGCAGCTCCATCTCAGCAGCCCTCTGGAGTGCCACCTCCACCAGCAGCTGGAAGCTGCTAAAGTCCTCCTTGTCCTGCTCTGGGGGCGTGGGTGGGGGTGTGTTGAAAAGTCCACCTGTGGGGCTTCCAGCCTCGGCCCTGGTCAGCAGAGTGAGGGTGCTACTAGGGGTAACCAGGGCCTTGGGGGGCTCCAGCTCCCCCTGTGGAAAGGCAGCTGCTGGCTTGTCCCCCTGGCCTGAGGGGAGCGGCATGGAGCACACAGACAAGGACAACACATTGGTGGGGGCCGGTACCGACACAGCCAGCACTGACGGGCTGTTGCCACGGGGGAGGGCCACATCTGAAGTCTTGCCTCCGCGACGAGAAATGGTGAACTGATTGGGGTCTTTGCCGTCCTTCCGAAGCATGTCTGGGAGAAGTCGCCGCCGGGCATTAATGAACCAGTTACATATCTGGAATGAATGTAGAAGACTGTGATCAGTTCAAGTAATCAGAACCAGCAATAGAAACGACTATGTGGCTTAGTGGTAAAGGGAACTGGATCTCACATGGCCAACCTCAGTTCAAATCCCTGTCCCAGCGGCTTGAAAAACAAGCCAGGCATATATGTGTGCATCCCCAAACTCCGGTAGGATAGAGAATGAAGGGATTAGGGTGTGACCAATCACATTAGGGGGTGCTTTCACTCTCTCTCTCTGTCTAGCACATGTGCCCTCTGGCAAAAAAGAAAGAAAAACCTGGGGGTACCAGCGGGTAGCGTGGTAGTTAAGGCGCTGGACATACCCACATAGCTGACCATGGTTCAAGTCCTGGACCTGGTGGCTTGCTTTCTCACTTTCTCTCTCTCTCTCTCTCTGGTCAAGTTAAAATAAATGAATGAATAAATAAAATAAAATAATTATTAAAAAAAAAAAAAGAAAGAAAATGCCAAACATAGCTATGGAGCCCTTGGTATGTTCAAGGCCCCAAGAACACAGTGGTCAATACCACAGATGTGATTCCAGCTGTCACAGGTTCATAGTATGAAGAGAGTTAATGAACTAGAAAAACACACACACACAAATATAGAAGTAAACTGTGACTCAGTACCAAAGGGAAAGCCAACAGTGCTGTGAGAGACAGAGTGGGGAGACCCAGCTAGTCCCTGCAGACCCTAAGTGGAGGGCTGAGGGCCAAGCAGTTGTTTAGGTAGGAGGTAGACCTATGGGACTGGGGCTCACAGTGGGAACTAGAGGTTACCTCTAATTGTCACATGGAGTGTGAATGCTTGCCAGAGAGAGCAAGAGAAAATGCAAGCACCCCAAAACAGGCTGTGGTCATGCTGCATCCCCATCCCCCGCCGTCTCATGGGGATTTTTGAGGGTGCATGTGCACACACACGTGGATTTTGAGCTCTCTCACATGCATGCACATGTGCCTGGTGTGTTTTTCAAGCCAGGATTCGAACCATGGTCAGCCATGTGGAAATCTGGTTCTTACACAGTGTTTAGTCACTGCTATGGGACTATGGGGCTGGACCTAGAGAAATTTTTTTTTTCCTTTCTAGAAGAGGTGTGTGCTCATTAGAGGGAGAAGGAAAGAAGAAAGTACCCCTCAACACACCACACACACTCACACACACACACACACACTCTCACACACAGAATGGTCACATCACAATCCCTTCTCCTCCATCCGCCACTCCTCTTGGGATTTTGGGCATATACACACATGCACCTAGTATGTTTCTCAAGTTACTGGATTTGGGATTTGAAACAGATGGCCAAGTAGGATCTGGCTGCCATAACACCAGGCCACAGAGCCAGCCCCAGATAAACTTTTAAGCAAGGATTTGGTTCTTTATTGTAAAGGCAATGGGAAGCCATAGGCAGGTTTTAAGCAAAGAAGTAATTTGTTCCAGGGAGGTGAACCAGCAGTTCAGGTTATGTTAAGGGAGATGGCCAGAGAGGACAAAAGGTTGATCTGCTCAGGAAATTGGCGACATTAGGACCTGGTGCCTTTGGGAATGTGGGTGGGTAGAGGGGATGATGCTAAGGGTCATTCACTCCTAAGTTTGTAGAGCAGAGACCTGCTGCAGACCAGAGAGCCAGAAAGATACTGAGGGGCTTTCAGGTAAGAAAAATTATTCTCTTTTTTCTTTTTTTGGAGAGGTTTTTTTTTGCTCTAGGGTGCGTGTGCTCGCCAGACAGAGAGAGACATAGAGACAGAAAGTGAGAAATCAACCCCCAAGGGGGGATGGTCACGCCGCAATCTCTTCTCCTCCATTCTCCTCTCGGGATCTTGGGCACTCACGCACATGCGCCCGGCGTGAGTTCTAAGCCACTGGGTCCGGGACGCGAACTGCGGTCGACTACATGGGAGTCCAGTGACATAGCCATTACGCTAACTGCTGGTTCCCTTCTCTTTTTTATGTGCAACAGCAGGACTGGGGGCTCTGGGTGAATGTGCATCTAAGCAACATCCTAAGCCAAAGCCCACATGCTGCTGAGAAAGCAACTGTGACCCCATTCTAGTTCATTGTTTTTGGACCTACTCACAAGGCATGAAGACTTCTGTTAAGTGGTATTGCGCAAAGTTTGAGGCACGAGTGCTTTGGGAGCCACTCTGAGCACTCCGTCCCACATCTGTCTGGACTCTTTAGTACTCCCAGCCACACAGTTCTCCAATCTGGCCTCTTTGCTGGTAATCAGTTCTCTTTCCAAAATGTAATGTCACTCCTGTTCTAGAAAACTGCCATTTGTCTCCTGCTGCCCACAGAATCAAATCCAGACTCCAGAGCCTGGGCAATGAAAACCCTCCCCACCACAGCCCACCTTTCCAGCTACCCTGCCACTATCCCTTGCACTCTTGCACTCTTCCACACGTGAAACTGCACCAGCCTTCACTCACACCTCAGTTTGTGTATGTGTGTTTTTTAACATGCTTTTTGTACACCACATTCTTTTTTTCCAGAATGCCCTCTTCGCTACCTGGGGAATGCTGCTACTCCTCTAAGCAAGATGGGCCAATGTTAGATATTAGACAGGGCTAGAGCAAACAGATTCAAAACACATCACCATTTGCTCAGGGCCAGCAAGGCCCTGCAATCTCTTCATACAACAACAACTGAGACCACAAGAGCAGACAACAGCATTCAGAAGAGTGTGAACAGTTTCTGCACATCTGACAGCACAGGTACCCTTCTGAAGATCAGTCACTTGTACCCTCTTTCCCCTGGGTCATCCCGAGGGGCCTAGATAGGTGACAAGGCCAATCTTCCAATAGCTCACCTGGGCATTATTTTAAAATGGTTAAGGATTAGACTAGAAAAGAGTTTCTTAGCCACCCAGCTGGTGAAAGCTCATAAATACAAAACTTGTTTCTCAAACACTCGACATCTACACGATTCGCAATTTTCTTCTGACAGTTATGTCAGCACTTCAGATGAGTCCAGTCAACTCCTATTTTCCAGATGAGCATACCTAAAGCTCAGCGTGGGAATCAGCCAGAATTCCGCCTCCAAGAGGGACCCCAGGCCAGGCCTGTGGATGTGGAAGGACAGCCACTTCTCTCTGCATCTTCCTTTGGGGCTCTCAAAGGGCCCCAGAGCCCAGCTTCCTGCATTCACTAGAGCAGCCAAATTAAAACATCTTCCCTTGCAAGGCTTCTTCCTCATTCAAATAGTGTGCAAGTGCCTGCTATGTGCCAGACCCAATTTTTGGTGCTAGAGATGCCTTTGTGAATTAAACAGACATGCCCTCTGCCCTGTGGTACTCACAATCCACGCAGTTGTGTAAGCTGGCAATAAACTGAATAACCATCAGTAAGTGCCAGGATGGACCCAGGAATAAAGGGGCAGCAATATGAGGGTCGGAGAAATTACTGAAGACACAGGGTCTGCAAGGCTGAGATGCAGAGCGTAAGAGCCAGCTGCCAAAAGCGAGGAGAGCATTCTCTAGACAGAGGGTAAGGCAGATGCCCAAGTCCTGAGGCAGGAACAGGACTGTTTTTTGTTTTCAAAGAATTAGTTTAACTTTATTCATTTTAAAAGTTGATTGGAAAGGGAGAGTGGAGGGTTGTGATGAGAAAGCAAGCCACCAGGTTCAGGACTCAAACCAGTCAGTTATTTGGGAGTCTAGCACCCTTAGCCACCATGCCACTTGCCAGCCCCAAAATGGGACTGTTTTAAGGAACTGACAGAAGGTGATTGGTGTGAGCTTATAAGTGGGCAGGGCTCAGGGCCAGAAGGTGGCATAGTGGTCATGATGGCTAGATCCCACATGGCTGACTGACCAGTTCAAGTCCCAGATCCTGCAGCCTGAAAAACGCCATGTGTGTGCATGTGTGAGCACATGCAAATGCACATATACACCCAAAATCTCGGAGAATGGAGAAGGGACTGTGGGGTGGTCATATCTTCTGGGGTGGGGGGGGTGCTTTTTCATCTTTTCTCTTTCTCTCCAGCAAGCACATATGACCTCTAGCAAATCAAAAAATATATATATATATGTTTTTAATTTATTATTATTTAAAATTTGATCAGAGAAAGAGAGAGAAAGGGAAAGTGAGAAAACAAGCTGCCAGGCCCAAGACTCGGTTGATTATGTGGGAGTCAAGCGCCTTAACCACCAGGATACCTGCCAGCCCCATGAATTTTATTTTTTTTAAAGAAGTGGGCTGGGGCCAGGAGGTGGTGTGGTGGTTAGGGTGCTGGACTTGCACATAGCCAACTGCAGTTTGAGTCCTAGACCTGGCGGCTAGCCCTCTTTCTCTGTTTCTCTCTGGTGAGTACATGTGCCCTACACCAAATCAAAAATAAATAAATAAAATAATAGATATTAAAAACAAAACAGACCCCCATCTTTCACCATTAACAACAGTCAACTCAAAATGGATCAAAGATCTGAACCTAAGACCTCAGACAATAAAACTACTGGTGGAAAATGCTGGAGAAACTCTGGGAGACACTGGATTAGGCAAAGACTTCTTAAACAAGACTCCCAAAGCACAGGCAATAATCCCTAAAATAGACAAGTGGGACTATATTAGACTAAGAAGTTTCTGCACAGCAAAGGACACAGTAACAAGTGTGAACCGACAACCCTCAGAATGGGAAAATATTTTTGTTAAATATGCCTCAGACAAGGGACTGATAACGAGAATACATAGGGAACTCAAGTGCCTTATGCGAAAAAAAATGATTAACCCGATTAAAAGATGGGAAAGTGAGCTGAACAAAAGTCTCTCTAAGGAAGACATACGAACAGCCAAAAAGCATATGAGGAAATGCTCGACATCCCTCATCATAAGGGAGATGCAGATAAAAACCACAATGAGATACCACCTAACCCCTGTCAGAATGGCAAAGATTAAGAATATAAAAAGTGATAAGTGTTGGCGGGGATGTGGTGAAAAGGGAACCCTCCTACACTGTTGGTGGGAATGTAAACTAGTTCAACCACTGTGGAGAACA